GTATTTTGAAGTGTGGGGCATCACCTGCTCCTAAAACAGCAGAGAGAAAGGAATATGTTTGCAATCAAACTGATTAACAACTTTTGACTTCTGTCTTCAGGTGTCTCCTGGTCATGAGGCTGACTGTTGAGGCTGGCACTACTTCTGTCCAAGTAACACATACTTATTTCCTTAGTAATGACCCCAAAATGCAAAAGTAGTGATGCTGGTGATTTAGATATGCCAAAGAGAGACTGTACAGTGTTTCTTTTTAAGTGAAATGACACAGGGCTCAGTACTACCTGTGGCATCTGCTGGGTATCTTGGAGTGGGCACATGGATGAGGGAGTTCAACATATGAGTTTTAGTGGACCACAAAATCACAGCAACAGTTGAGTTACGTTGGGTATGGATTGCCTTTCCTCCATGAATGCACATGTTGGGAGGTTGGTCCTAAGTGTGGCAGTACAGTCAGGTGGTAGCATCTTTAAAAATGTCCTCAGAAAGGATTAGCCCAATTCTTATGGCAACCCAGTTAGTTCCCATGAGAGTAGGTTGTTATAAAGGAGAGGTGGGTGACTTCCTGGTGTCTGGCTTCCTGTCTTAACATAGGATCTCTCCCTCTCACGTGTGCTTCTGCTATGACATCAGATGACCCAGTCAAGGGACCACGATCAGAGGCTGTACTGAGAGAGCAGCCTGACATGTAAGCTAAATAAACCTCTTTTTCTGGTATATTACCAAGTCTCAGTCATTTTGTTATAACAATAGAAACAACTAATACCAATACAGCAATTTTTAAAAAGCACTTGCATATGCAATTCAGAATTTGATTTTCAAAAGACTTCAATGACTCAGACCCTCATTTGTAGCTGAGAACAGGATTTAAGGAAGATAAGCAATTTTCCAGGCCTTACTCTGGTAGAAAATCAACCACTGGAATCTAAAATTCCCTCCACTGTACCATGCTGGGAAAGCTTCATGGAAAATGTGACCACTTAGGTTAAGTATTTAAATAGAGATTAGTTTTGATAGGCAAAGATAGTTAAATTGAAGAGCAAATATAGGAAAACTGGAAAAATTAAGACACAACTGGGAAAGGATAAGTAGAATATGTTAGCTAAAGTGTGAGCTACGTGCTGGAGAGCCAGGACTAGAAATGAACTGCACTGTGGCTATATCACATACGATCTTAACTACCAGCTTGAAGAATTTAGAAATGGAATGACAGAAAATGCAGAGGGAGGGAATCTCCTGATAGAGCTCAGAGATAACATCAGGAAAGCATGGGGAAATGAGGCAGATTGTTGTGGAGAATGAAGAAGATAAGAGGACCAGTTAGGAGATGGAAAGGCAGTCTTGTGGGTGGCGCAGAAGAAAGACTAGTTCCAGAAACACTGAGTGAAGTATTAACATGGTGCCTGGCAAAAGCTTGTAAAATGAGGATGGATCTTGGCTGTGGATAGTGTCTCCAGAAGAATGGAGATGCCATTCACAGAGCACAGAGTTAGAAGAGACTTGGGAGGAAAATCACAAGCTGCTGTTTGGATCTGTTGTACCTTGAGAAGGGCCTACTGAGTCAGAAGAAGGCACCACCCAGGCTGTCTCTGTGCTGCTTCCCTAAACTATCAGGCCAACTTCTTGCCCCTTCATATCTGGGCCCAGTGAGTACAATTCTTAAAATGTGGTGACATTCAAAATGTGCTTGGAAAGTAAATCCATGTTCAAGAAGAGTTATCTGGAGAAGTTCCAAGACAAGAGTGATGATTACAGAGAGATAGTTACTACAACGAGAGGAACCAAATTTGAGGCCTTCGAGGTGGTTATTTCTCAGAGAGGAGGGACTCTAAGGCCTGCTGGGGACTACAGGTAGTATACACCTGATGAAGAGTTCCTGAGACACTGGGGCTTGGATACCACATGTGTGGATGCAGAGGCTACCAGGGATACCGGCAAAGAGGGAAAATGACTCAGGCCCAGGCAAGTAGGCGTGCTGCTCTAGACCTCGCCCTTCTGACAGTCTCTGTCCAGCTTTCTTTTGCTCCATGGTGCAAGGGGATCAAGCCTTTGGAACTAGTGGCTCTAGATCAGTTTCTGCCTATGAAAATGCAATTCTCAAATGACCAACCCTGTTCTCAGGGTTCTCCCAACCTTCTACCCTGAGCCTATCCTCCGGAGATCAAGGCATACCACTGATTTGCACACCCTTACACCTGAGCAATGGCCAAGGGGAAACTGGTGAGGCGGGTCGGCGGTTGTAGTTAAGAGTTTGGGGGTTGAGTGGGCAGGATTGAATGGTGGGCAGGAGTGTGCACACATGTTCTTAAAAGTCTGTTCCACTGGAATGGAGTCAGGGCCTGAGGAGAAGGATCCAAACAAGGAGCAGTGGGCTGCAGGCTGGCAGCTGGGGCTTGTTGTGCTGCTATGTTCTCAAGCAGAACTCCACGAAATCAGGAAATTTAAATTCAAACCTGGATTTCCAAGTGATTATGAGGTGCATTTGTCAGCATTAGAGGTTAGGATATATTTTGTTTCAGTTTGTAAGCTTGCTTTATAACTTTTACATGAGACGTGTAGAATTGCTTGTGTAACTTTGCCTATAGACTCTCAAACATTAGCAGAGTTAGGAGTCAGTAAGTGAGAAAGGCCGTCCTATTACGGCCTCCAGAATCTTTCTCTTTTCTTAACCCCTATCATATTCTTGGAAGATTGCTTCTTTTATTGTCTATCTTCTCTGGTAAACTTAAGGGAGTGTGGAGGCAGAAACCAGGCTGTCTTGTTTACAAATAGATTCTAGTGCCAATGCCAAAATTGACGGTCTTTATACAACATGCCAAAAAACTGATTTTGAAAGACAAGCCTTAAAGAGGGGAGATAGAAGGGGCTAAAGCAACCTGAAAAGCCAATATCTGCTAAATTGTAAATCTCTCCTTATTTATTTATTTATTTATTGGATACAGGTCAGGCCAGCCCTGAACTCACTGTGTAGACCAGGCTTGCCTCCAACTCCCAGCAATCCTCCTGTCTCAGCCTCCCAAGTTCTAGGATTATAGGTTTGTGTAACCACATCTGGCTTCTTTCTCTGTAGCCTTTGGAGCATAAGACTAATTTTGTCCCTCAAAGTGCATAAACATGGATGTATCACATAGTCTATCAGACCCAGGTTTATTCTTTAGAATATTTCTATTGATGAACTACTAGTTTCAATTTATGACTTTTATTATGTTAAACAATGAGTACCTAACAGGAAAAATATCACAAAAATAAAGTATTGAGTTTTAAATATTTATTGTTTATTTAAAAAGCATCAAAATTTTCAACATCAACTGGTTTTTGGTGTAGTCTAAAAAAGAAACAACAGAAATAAATTCCCATAAAAACTACAATGAAAATACCAATAGCACGCTATAGAAAAAAAATCTTTATTTAACAGTCACACCTATGGCAGTCTGCACACATGACACATGACAGCAGCACATTCCATATACATGTATTGCTCACACTGACAGCATATGTCTTTTGCTTTCCTGGCTTTTTTGTAGGACATACTTGATATCTCAGTGATCTTGCTGTTTTGTCAGGAGGCTCTTACATTATACAATGTGTAGTTAGTGGGAACATAAAATATCAATAAAATAAATGATCAAATTCTCATGCCATAATGAATCATCTTCATCATCCATGCATGAAAATGAATCACTTTTGACCTCCTTTCAAACTTGCAAGTCTGGTTTTTCATACTGAATTGGGCACCTTCTGCCAGAAAAATCAAAAGTTTTTAAAAAACAAACCCTAGAGTGGTGTGGGTCTAGTGGACCCTCTGTGATGCTCGAGTAAACATAGGCAAAATCAGCTGAAGGCTAAAAGTGGGTCCAAATCCTATTTTGATGCTTTTGCACATATACATACTTCTTGTTCATCATACAAAATGGGTGAACACATAGACTGTTTCCTCTATCCCTCAAGGAAAGGTACTAAGACATAGCTGGCCACTATAACACTGAAGTACAAATTTACAGTAGAAGAATAAGGGATGTGCCCACTGGACCCAGGCTTGTGCCTTGATTTAAGAACCAAGCTGAGTCAATGTACTGATTCTTAGTCACAGGTGATTATTCCCCCCTGCATTAAGTGGTTAGATTAGGATCAAATGATGCACTCTTAGGGCTGCATTTTTTTCTTTTTTTGTTTGAGGCGGGGCTTTGCTATGTAGTTCAGGCTGGCCTTGGACTCACTATGTAGTCGAACTCACGGCAATCCTCCTGCCTCAGCTTTCTAAGTGCAGACATGTGGGCACTGCTATATCCAGCCAAGGGTTGATTTTCTGAAGTGCTTGGTCCTCCGAAATTCATTTAAAATTTTGGTCATTCCTTTGATGATCCTTTAGGGTCTCCTTTTAGGGAGAGGTTACACTGGACAGTGTGGGGATGAGGGCCTGAAGGCTATCGTAAAGCTAAGATTAGTTGTGATAGTGAAACACAAAGTGTTCAGAGCACCAAAAACACAGGCACAGCCAGTGTGAAGGTTGTAAAACACGGCTTGAGAGGATAATGAAGAAACCAGGTGACACCAGAGTGCTACATATTTATTGAGTTCCTATGGCATACGAGACAGTTTAGACGCGAGAAACTGATCAGTAAACCCACCCAAATCTCTGTTCTCACTGAATTTAATTTAGAACCAGGACAACAGGTAATAACACATAAACATGGGTATCACACACATACACAAGTACATGTGGAGTGGAAAACTGCTATTTATAAAACCGAAGGAGAGCAAGGACAAGCGCTCGAGGGTGGCTGCTATTTGAGGAGCCCTGGAAGAAGCCGAGAAGCTAAGCACGCGAGGCGGGTCTCTAATTTTCTAAGCTGCGCAGAGCGAGGTGCACCTCCCAGGAGCCCCGCCCCTCCCTCCGGATAGGCGCAAGGTGCGGCCTCCTGGGAAGCTCCACCCCCGTCCCCGCCCAGAGGCAGCCTTGGGGCGGGGCTTCCCGCCCAGTTGTAGGAGCGCGCCGCGCCGAAAGCCGCACGCACAGCGATCCCGGCATGCTCCTTGTTCTCTCTGGGCGTGGGGAACTCCTTGGCCGGATCCTGGCATGCTAGGAAATGTAGTTGTAGACCGCCAGGAGTCTGGGGGGCGATAAAAGCTGCTGAGTCCCGCTCCATTTCTGGCACCCGACTTGCAGCCCCAACGGGAGGCCCTACTGAGGGGTAGAGACCAGGGTCATCCTAAGAGCCGGTCAAGCGAGCATCCGGGCCGCTTGCCCCTCTGGGCGCGCGCAGCTCCTCAGCGCGGCCGCCCCGCCTGGCCGGCAGGGCCCGGCCCGGGCGTCAGTCAGCCCGCGCCTGCCCCGGCGCTGCTGCCACCTCGCGCTCGGAGGCGTCACGGAACGTGCGCTCTCCCCCCGCCCTCCCCTCTCCCTGCCCTCCTCCCCCTCCCGCGCTGAGTCTCGCAGCAGCCGCCGCAGCCGCAGGAGTAGCCGCCGCCGGAGCCGCGCGCAGCCATGGCTGAGAACCCTGGCTTGGAGAACCACCGCATCAAGAGCTTCAAGAACAAGGGCCGCGATGTGGAAGTGAGTATGCCACCGCGGTCCGGGCCTGCCCGGCTCGCCCGCCTGCCCGCGCGGGCCCCGCGGCGGCGGGGAGGGGCGGGGGGCCAGCGCCGGGCTGGTTCTCGCCAGCGTGCGGTCAGTCGGAGTTGGCCGCCGCCTGCAGTCGCTCTGGCCCGGGCTGGGTGGAGTGGGCAGCGGGACGCGAGCCGAACTGCAGTCGCCCCTGTAAAGCTGCCGCCACGGGGACCGGGAAATGCCGGGGCTTTTGGCCCCGTCACGCGGGCGCGGCCTGGTGTCGGCGAGGAAGGGATGTGGAGCTGAGGCGGGGTCCGCGGGCCGCGCGGGCCGCGCGGGCGGGCGCACCGGGATGCTGCCGCCCGGGGCCGCCCACTGCGCCGCCGAGGGCCGACCGCAGCTCACGACCCTTGTCTGTGCGAGCTCCAGCCCGGCGCAGGCCATTCCGTGCCTCCCGCGCTGCCGCACATGGAGCCTGGACTCTGCCGGTCCCTGCGCCTACCTTCTGCGAGCCGGGCCCAGGCGGGCAGTGGCGGCCCGCAGAGGGGGGTGGGGACCAGCCGGGTAACTGACTAGTTTGAGGACGCTGGATGGGGGAGGGCAGGATGCGCCAAGATCGTTTTCTGATATTTCAGTGCTGTCCTTTGGACCAGTCGTGTTGAACTGTTCTAGTCCGTACTCCTATTCCAGCTGGCATTTGGAGCGAGCTAGAGGTGGACAATAGTTTACCATCTATTGTGTTGAGGCTTTGAAAAAGAGATTGTGTCTACCTCCTCTCTTAGGACTTCTTAGCCTGTCTTGGAGGGGAAGTGTGCATAGGATCCTGATTTCTTTGACACGCTTTACTGAAATAAATTGGATACAAAGGTTTATAATATACTCCTTGCACCAAACTGGTAGATTTTCCATGTGGTTGCAAAACTGTAAACATTTATTGCGGTCACTCTGTTTCTTGTATTTAGCATGTTGCCATTGTCTCATTAAGGTGACACTAGCAGGTACTATGTGCAAACTCGGCTTATTGAGGCAGCGCTAGAGGTCTCTCTGCGGCTACTAAAAGCAGTGAAGTACTGTATAATGCACAAACTTCACTGGGACTCTGACCTCTGAATTTGACAGGGAGAAAATAGTTTTGAGACCACAGCTTTCCTTTTCTAATAGTACTGACATGGTTTGCAGTTCTGTAATTTTTGCTAAGTGACTAGTATTTATTTTATCTAGTCTTAAGAAGAGGGGACAATGAGGTAAATACACTGTTTAGCGTTCTGTTTTATAGAGAAACATACAAAATGAAATACTAATTGGGAAAACCAAGAAGAATATCTGTGGAATTCCTGTGAAGGCACATAAAGGTCATTTGTCTCTATCTTGATCATGCTTAAATTTCCTTCCTGAGAAATAGCTGTAACCAAAAGTGAAAGAGGAGCAAAGAATTTTGGAACTGCCTCTTGTTATTAGTCTACTTGGTGATGAATTAATTTGAACTTTTTACACCGGCAATTTTTCTTGAAGCCTATACTTACTATAAAGCAAAAGCTACACAGTTTTAAAAATACAAGTATTGCTTGCATAGACAAATCAATGCCATTCCTTTTCTTGGGATATGGGTGCAGCTTTATGTTAAGTACTTACATTAATGTGTTCTGAGGGCTTAGTGATACCTACTAAGCGCTTTTTTCTTGCATGTAATAGGTACACAGCAAATACTTATGATGATCAGAAGATAACCAATGACTTCTGGATGTGTGATTGCTAAGCCATTCAGCCTGATATTGGTCACAGCATTACTTTTCCCAGGATATAGGAGGGTAACTAAGACATGAAATAGCAGATATTGAACTGATAGTTTTATGCAGCAAACATTAGGCTATACTGAGGGTTTTATAATATCTCATGCATCTTAAACATCTTTGTGTGGTATATGTAGCTTTATCCCTGCTTTAGATGAGAAAACTTTAGATGCAGAAACCCATCATGTTTTTGTAGTCTGCACAAGTCATGTGGTTGGTATGAGCATTCACTCACTAACTGTCAATTTGGTATCAAATAGTGTTAGTTTAAGGAGACAAAAAGGAAAAAGATTAACTGTACTTCAAGGAGTTTACAATCCAGTGCGTGGGTGTGATAATTACAATGCAGTAAGAACATCAATAAGTGTTACAGTATAGTATTTTGAACATGTATGAGAAGATGCTAAGTGGCCATTATGAATGAATGGAAGTGCTGACCCTAAAGAGTGAACAATAAGCTAGGAAGGGCAAAAGAAGGGGTATAGGAAGGAAGGGGCATTTCAGGTTTGAGGGAGCACTGAATGAGGAGTGGAGACTATGTAGTAAGGCTGGTGAGATAGGGGGGTGGGCAGGATTTCTCAAGATGTAATTAAAGAGTTATTGAGTCATCTTGATCAATAGATGTTATTATAGATCTAGACATAATGAAGACTAGATACTATATCTAATTTAGTCTGGCCCAATGGAAACTGTATTGTGATTTAGCTGTTTGACTAAGTAATTGCAATTGTTAGTGAGATGCATTTTTATATTTTCTAAAGAAAGTAGGGTAGAGTTATGCAAGAGGATTGTGAACAGAGTTGAAGAAAAATCATTTCATAATCATTCACTCAAGAATGACTTATTAGTGGATATCTAAGATATCTTTGAAGATGGGAGACTCTTACAGGAAGTATGCACCAAACTTAAAAGGAGCACATGAAAAATTAGTGGATAAAGATTATTCAGATGAAAAAGAAGAGTTATTAGGTTAGAGATTGAAAGGTTGTGTAGGTCAGAATATGTCTTACGGCAGAGTTGCTTGGAGCATTTAACTTCATAGAAAGAGTCTAAGGAATTTATTTCAAAGCAAAGAGGAGGTGTAACGTGATTAGTGCAGTACATCTAGAATTAGTCTGAGGAATAGTATGATTATCTGGTCTGCAAGGAGAAATTTTTTGAAAGGTTCAGCCTGGAATTAACCACAACTAGGGAAGGGGACTTGATGATTCTCCTACTCCCACTTCCTTTTGTTCCTCATCTTTTTTTGTGTAAAGCTGGTGGAATGGGATAAAAGTTATCCTGAGGTTTAGATGGAGGAAGGTGCATGGTTAACCACTGATTGTCATTTGTAATTGGGACAGGACTGGATTGGCAGCTAAATCTAGGAAGTACAGAGTGAAGAGGAAACTTTAATTACCTTTGCTTGTTCTGGAATGTATGTTTCTGTACCAGGCCTTTTCGTTTAAGGCATTGATTCTTAAGCTTCTTCATTTTAAAGAAAAACAAAACAAAACAAACAACAATATACTTCCAGAAAAGTGTGCAAAACATAAATATTCTGTTTAATGTATACTTTTGAAATAAACACTGGGGTAATTGCCATCCAAGTTAGCTTTTCTTTTTCTTGCTCCTGTATCCCTTAAGGATGTGGCATTTTAATCACTAACCAATGGTTTAAAAATCTTAACATTAAAATGTTTGCAGTGGACTAGTTCTAAGTACTTTATATGGATTAATCTTCACGTAGTCCTATGAAGTATGTACTATTATTATCCCCATGTATTAATGAGGAAATAAGACCTACAGCTTTTAAGTAACTAGCCACATGTAGCATGATAGAGCCTAGCATTATCAACTAACATTATCTGAGCATTTCAAATTCGTGCTCTCTTTGTTGTCCTCTACTGGTGGTAGTGGAGAAGGTGGTCTCTAGACTTATGTATAAAACACGTATGAAAGTTAGTAAACTGCGATCATATTATTGAAATCTTTATTATAGGGATTCCTATTTGAATACTTTAAAACCTTGCTGATTAAAAAAAAAGTGGGTTTTTTTTTGTTTGTTTTTTGGTTTTTTTGTCTTTTTGAGACAGAGTCTCACTATGCAGTTCAGGCTGGCCTTGGGCTTGCTTTACAGCCCACTCTGGTCTCAAACTTGAAAATGATTCTCCTGTTCAGCATCCCAAATGCTAGGATTATAGCAGTGTGCCCCCATGCCCGCCCTGATAATATTGTTTTGTTTATTTTCCCAGGTACTAGGTTCTTTACATTAAGCTGTATCCTCAGCCATTTTTTTATTTTTAGATGGGTCTAAGTTGCTCAGGTTGGGCATGAATTTGTGATCCTTTCTCCTCAGCTTCCTAGAGTGTTGGGATTTTTTTCCTGTTTTTTTGTTTGTCTCTTTGTTTGTTTGTTTGTTTTTGAGAGAGGATCTTGCTATGTAGTTCAGGCTGCCTTGAATTCTTGAATTTGGAGCTAATACTTCTGCCTCACTCTCCTAAATTCTGGGATTACAAGCATGTGCTGCTACCACCACCAGCTCTGATAATGTCTTAATGGTGCTTATTATTCTAACCATCCTAGTGCATTTCACTTTTCTTAATTTGTAAGTGCAATTTTGCACATGAAGTTTTTCAGGAATCTGTCATATAGCAGACACATTGTAGTTTTCTTGAATTCACATATATTCTTTCCTGGATCTTCTAACTCTTGGATTACTATGTTTTAGCTGGCTTTGCCAACTTTTCTTTGACCTGTTGAGTGTAGGCATGTGTTGGGATTCTGTCTGTGAGTCTTTGTAGACTTTCTTGTTTACATCAATAGCTCACTTGGTTTAAACTGTCATTTGGGGTGCACCGTTATATCTGTTTTATTCATCTGCTGAAAAGTTTTTACACGAACTTCTCACTAGCTTCTTAAGTTCAGTGTGTTTAAAGCCATACTCTGGCTTTGGGCTTTTCGTTTTGTTTTTGTTTTTCCCCTTCTTTTCTCTGTTTATGGCATCATTGCCCTGTGACCTGAATTCGAAACTTGAGAGCTTTCTTGGACTCCTTCCTCATCTTCCACATTAGTCATATGTCAGTCATGTAGCTTGAATCTCTGTGCTCTTTGGATTTGGCTCTGTTTCTCTATTCCTTTGCTTCTAGTCTATTTAGCCCTTATTACCTGGCAGTTTAATAATTTCCTCCAAAGTACTGGTTTTCCTCTAGTTTATGAAATTTTTCAGAGCACCCT